GGAGCGCGCAGCCAGCTCAGGTGGGACCGAAGAGCGACGGCCGCAGCCGCGGCCACGACCTGTCCGTGGCGCTTCCCAGTTTTACAAAGCACTTTGACACTAGGATCTGAGCCCTGCGATCTGCGGATAGAGCGGAGGGAACCGAGGCCCCTTGCCGCTCGTCTTGTCCACTAGGCCTCGGGCGCCTCGCTTCCCTGGGGCCTATCGTGGGCTCTCTGGCATGGCTGTCGGGGCTTCCGAGAGCTCCTGGCCCCACCGAAAGTAAGGAGCTTGCACCGGAGCCTCCTGACCCCCTGAGAGCTCTTTTTGGCGTTCATTCCTGTTCAGGTCGATGTAACAACAGTTACAAGAGCCAGGGCCATAGGGAAGGGTCTTACAGGGTGGGGTAGAGGCAGGGGCCAGTTTCAAAGCCCAGGCTGAGCATGTAAAGTCTATGGGGAGGCAAAAGCTACACATGATATAAAGACAAATCAGTGTAGAACAGTGGAACCCCCTCCCTCTGAGCCTCCTCTCCGGCCCCGGAAGCAGCTCCCAGGGATCTCAGCCCCTTCCTGTAATGGAACCTCTCTAAATCCCATAGATGAATTATTGCGGAGGAAACAGCTGCAGCTGCTGGCCACACCCAAGCTGTCTCCAGGTGCCTGGTGCACGATGCACGGAAGGGAATCTCGGGGTACCATGTTTGAGACCCGACGGGGCCCCAGAGTAGGAGAAGCTTCTGGCTGTAGGGGGGCGGTGAAGAGTCTCTCTTCTCCCTCAGGACGAGGTGCTGCTGATCCAGGAGGCTAAGAGAGAGTGCCGGGGGTCATGGTACCTTCCTGCAGGGCGAATGGAGCCTGGAGAGACCATCGTGGAGGCGCTGCAGCGGGAGGTGAGGGAGGAGGCTGGGCTACACTGCGAGCCTGTGACACTGCTGTCCACGGAGGAGCGGGGTCCCTCTTGGATCCGCTTCGTGTTCCTCGCTCGCCCCACAGGTAGGGCCCACTTGGTGGTAGGTGAGCAGGAGCTAATTGCCACCTCCTGGACATGAGCCCCTTTGCAGCCAGCCAGTTCTGCCTGGTTCTGGCTGATTATGGGCTGCATTTGCAGCCTGAGGGGTCATGGCTGGAGCGCCTATTTATATACTCTACCAGACCTGATACTACATTTTTTTTTTTTTTGCGGGGAGGGGGGGATGCTGGGAATTGAACCCAAGGCTTTTGTCCCAAGCCCCTTATTTTTTATTTTGAGACAGGGGTCTCCCTAAGTCATTGTTTCCATGCTTGGCTCAAACTGCATTCCTCCTGCCTAACCCTCCCAAGAGTGCACTGCCACACTCAGCTGTGATACTACTACAGCACACACCCTCCCCTTCTCTGTCCCCCAAATCTCCCCTAGGCGGAATTCTAAAGACTCTCAAAGAGGCAGATGCGGAGTCCCTGCAGGCTGGCTGGTACCCGAGGATCTCCCTGCCCACTCCTCTGCGAGCTCATGACATTCTGCACCTGATTGAGCTGGCCACCCAGTACCGCCAGCAGGCCAGGCACCCTCTCATTCTGCCCCACGAGCTGCCTTGCAGTCTGGTCTGCCAGCGGCTCGTGGCCACTTTTTCCAGTGTCCAGACAGTGTGGGTACTGGTGGCCATGGTGGGGATGCCACACTTGCCGGTCACCGCCTGTGGCTTTACCCCCATGGAGCAAAGAGGTGGCATCAGGGTGGCCGTTCTACGGCTCCTGCAGGAGTGTCTGACCCTGCACGGTTTAATAGTGGAGACCAAGGGGTTGCTTGGACTGCAGCACCTGGGCAGGGACCACGCAGATGGCATCTGCTTCAATGTCCTGGTGACTGTGGCTTTTCAGAACCCAGGAAGCCGAGATGAACCCCCTAAGGTTCGGGGTGAGAACTACTTTTGGTGGAAGGTGACAGAGGGAGACCTACATAGCCAGCTCCTCCGGAGGCTCCAGGAATCTTCTGTTGTCCCTGTGAACAGATAGGAGAGGCCAGCAGGCACCAGGAGCTGGGCAGCTGTGTCCCCTCCATGGGACTCTGCCTCCTTTGGAGGCAGGCAGGAGGCTGGCAGTCAGGGGTCTTGGTGCACAGGGTGCAGGGGTGGTTCTCCTGGTACAGGGACTTCGTGCAGCCGCCAGCACCCCCACACCTTGCACCAAAAAAATAGTGCCTTTAACCACGAAAGGAACCTGATTGCCTTGAGGGCACATGGATGCTTACTTCCAGGGTCTGGGAGCTTTCTGAACCCCGTGCTCACCACTCTGAAGACCTGCATGCTGATCCTTTTGGGCTTAGAAATTGAAAGGGGACACGAGGAGGTCCTTGAAAGAGGGCCCCTTGCTGAGTGAATACTATTGCATACCCTTCCTTTCCTGCCTAAATGTCTCTGTTGGAAGGAAATGAGGGGTTCTCGTCAGCACTGCTGCTCCCTGTCCCACCGACAGCCACCCAGAGCTTTCCTGACAGCTGCCAACACTGCATGGAACTGCTTTCCACTGCAGGCCCCAGGCCCCAGTCCCCAGAGCTGTCTCCATCCTTCCCTGTGGAGCAGGAGGTTGTGTGAGAGAACCAGGTCCCTAGTGAAAGCACAGCACAGACCCCCAGGGGTTGAGCAGTGGGGATTCTGGGAAGCTACAGATGGGGCAGAAGCCAAAAGTATTTCTTTCCCATGAGTTTCCAGGCTCTGATCCCTACCCATCCATTCTCTTGCCTTTGCCTTTTTATACTTTCAACCCAAGCCAGACAAAATCTTTGTTCTTCTTAGCCCAGCAGCATAGCAGGATTTTTCTTTTTTAATAAAAGAACTTCAGTGGAAAACCGAAGTTGATGAGAAATGAAAATATCATGTGTGAATCATATCTAGATTTCTGGTTCTGAGCAGGGAAACACGAATGGGTTTCTCTTCTCCTGGGGTCCACTGCCCTCTGACCCAAAGGCCAAGGGAACTCTGGGCCCTTCTCAGCCCCTGCCTGCCTGCCTTGGCCACCAGCTGGTCTCTCTGGCCTCCGGAAGGGCCATAGGAATCTGGGCCCCGCTGAAGACGTTTGTATGACAGACCAAACCCTTTTATTCTGTTCCCTCTTAAGAGTATGAGGAGCCCCCACCAGAGACACCCACTTAGAGGGGCAGTGGTACTCATTCCAGTCCGTGGTTCAGCTTGGTAGCTTTCAATGCTGGACAGATGTTAGAATCACCCGGAGAGCTTACAGACACTGCCCTCCCTCACCCTGAACTGCTGGAGGGGGCTGAACACTGGCATTTTAAAAAGCGGTTTCTGTTTTTGAGCCAGGGTCTCCCTATGTAGTTCAGGCTGGCCTTGAACTTGGAGTGATTCTCCTGCCTCAGCCTCCCAACTGCTAGGATTATAGGCACGCGGCACCACACCTGGCTAAAAAACATTTTAAAAAGCATTTTTAAAAGTTGGGAGCCACTGCAGGACCCTTCTCCAAGTTCTCAGCCTGCCTGACCCTGGAGTGCTATGGTGACCCCTCAGGAACAAACTCCTTTCCTCCCCACACAACCAAGCTCAGATTTTTTAAACATCAGCCCCACTGTCCATGACCAAGCTCTAGAGCCCACAAACTAAGAACAGGGCCACAAGACCCGCACACAGATGCTCCTACCTGGCCTGTCCCCTTGTGGTGGCCTGGACTGGCAGGCGCAGCCACAGGTGAGCTGGCAGGTGCGAAGTATGACTTAACACTGGTACGACCCAACTCTGTACCACGCCCCTGTGCTCCTGGGCTGGAGAAAGACGGGAACCTATCTTCCTTGGGGTAGAAGATGGGCCTGAATCAGACAAGTGCTGGGCAGGGGACGCGAAGGCTGAAGAACAGAGCCTCCACTGTGTCCACGCAATCACACTGTTTATTGCTGTGCTGTCTGGGGAAGACACCGTGCAAATGCCAAAGTGCAGTGATTAGAGGTGAGAGTCCGTGACTCCCAGGCCCTCCAACATCTGAAGAACCTCAAAGTCCAGGCCCAGTTCGGCCACTGAGATCCGCCCCTTGCCCGACACTGGCACCCACGGCACACAGGCACACGCAGGTGTGCAGTATTCTTTGGAGCGGCAGCTAAGTCCTCCCCCGCTGGGAAGAATGTGGGAGAGGTAGAGGTCACTGAGTTTCCCCACCTTTCATGTCACCTTCTGGCAACCTGCGCCCGGCTTCTAGAAGAGGCATGGGCAGGAAGAGGAAGCGAAAGGGGCTCTGGCCTGCTCCTGCTCACCCAGGAGCCGAGCCAGCAACTGCAGTCCCACTGTGAGGTAATGCCTGGCGCGCCCCAGTGCTCCTGCAGGTCGAGACAGATTCAGGCCAGGTGGGGAGGCGGCCCCAGCCACAGAGGGCATGCAAGGAGAACTGGCTGCCTGTGCCCAGACCCTCCCTGTTGGGCCTTGGGGGTCTGGAGTCCGGCATCCTGCCTCATCTGTACCCCAAACTCTGGGGCCCCCGGGAGGGCTATCCATTGGGAACACACTGGGCACAGAGCAGGATCTCGAGGATGAGGCCCCGCCTCCCCTGGTCACTGACCTCTACCCAGGTGTTGCGGACCTGCCGAGACGGGTTCAGAAGGCGCCAGAGAGGAACCAGCCGGGGATGTAGGCAGGCGCCCAACTCCACAGCTCCAAGGCCCTTGCCCGCCCTGGCTGCTGCCGCACCAAGGTTCTCATTAGCAGCTGCCCCCACCTGGGCGAGGAGCATGCTTTGGGCATTTGCCATGAGGCGGTTGGGAATTTTGCAACAGCCTCCGGGAGGACAAGGCAGAAAGAAGGGACTTCCCCTGCAGTCCCTTCCACAGTCTCTTCTCCAGAGCTTGAACCAAGAGACAGGGAAAGCCTGTGAAATTGCAGCAGCTTCCATGGTACCAAATGTGACAGTCGGGGCTCCTCTGGACCCCAGGCTCTCTGGCCTGGATTCCCAGCTGGCCACGGAGCCCCCGCAATTGTCACCGGCTGTGGCCTTGACCACACATGGCCAGTACAGAGTGAACAGTAAAGACAACACACAAGGCTCAGGGTCCAGGTGCAAACCAGAACATGGCCAGTACAGAGTGAACAGTAAAGACAACACACAAGGCTCAGGGTCCAGGTGCAAACCAGCTGTCACCGGCTCCTCCAAGAAGGCCCCGAGGACAACATGCTGACTGGGAAGCTGTCTCTTTTGCTCCTGGCACCTCTGAGGTCCACTCCCCTGGAACCCAGACCTGTGTGGTCAACAGGCTGAGGTCCTGAGTCAGCCCGGAGCTGAAGCCCCACACTGGAGGAGAGCTGTGGCAACGACGGGGCCCAGCAGGAGGCTGCTCCTGGGCAGCCATGAGGATAGGAGTCTTCCACTGATTCAGACTTGCCCTTCCGGGGGTGAGGAGAAGTTCAGCTGAGGACCATGTTGAGGGGGAAACTTGACGAAGGCGATGGCAGCCAGTTCCTTGCAGAACTCCTCAAGTACTACCACGCCTTGAAGGAGGGTCTGGTGGTCCAGCCTGAGGGGGACAGCATGGGGCAGGGGGGGTAGAGCTGGGAGGTGGCAAGCATGTGTGCCGCACGGCAGCCCAAGTCCACAAGGCTTGACCCAGGGGCTCCCTGACCCACTTGCAGGGTTACTTACTGCTCCCCAGGGACCTGGCCCATCAGCTGCTTTCGTACCAGGAGCAGTTTGCCTGGAAACTGGGGTATCCTCTGAATTCTCTGCATCAAGTCCCCAATCACCTAGACCAGGAGTTAGGGAGGCTTGAGGTCGGGCCCAGCTGCATTCCTGCAGGCTCCCCTTGCTCTGATGCCATGCACCTTCCCTGGCATTGCAGGGTTCCCCCTGCCCCGTTCCCTGCCTTCATGCCCCCTGGCATCCTTACCCTGACCAGCACAGAGAACAGGCTCCTGCAGCCAGGGGCCAGGTTGATGTAGGGATCCAGGAGGTACTCGTGGATGTGGGGGTGGGGGAAAAGGGCGAGCCGGGACAGGACTGAGGTCACCTGCAGGTTCAGGCTGTAGGGCTGTAGGGAACAAGACAGACGGTGCTAAGGGTTGGTGGGGAGTGGTGAGCATTTCTGCACTCCCCCAGCGGAGGCACCTGGCTGGGGTGAACATGTGCGGGGGTGGGAGACTCACGTGACGTGTGTGTGTCATGGATTCCCTGGGGCTGAGGGCCAGAACATGTCAGGGCGTGTGGAACAGAGGCGAGACGGGACTTCCCGCCTGGGGACAGGATGGGGGTGGTGCCATACAGCCCATGGAGGGTCAAGCCCCATGGCCAGTGCCCACTGTCCTCAGACTCCAGAGGCCCAGCCTGGACTTCTCCTAGGCCCCGTCCCATTGGCTACCTGATCCAAAATCCGGGCAATGCGATTGAACAGCACTCGGAGGAAGTGACCCTCAAAGAAAGGCCGTTCTGGCTCATGGGGGTCCAAGGCTGTGGGAGTCCGGGGCCAGCCCCAAGGGGCAACACGGGAACTGCACTCCTGGAACTGAAATGGGGCAGAGTTGAGGGAGCCCACACAGGAAAGGAGGGCTCTGACCTAGGGCACAAGATCCAAGGTGTTTTTCAACCTGAGGTTAGGAATGAGAAGGGTCGTCAGCCACAGAGCCTCACTCACCAGTCCATAGGCATCGTGGACGTAGGTGTCGTACCCAGTCTCCTCCAGGAAGGCTGAGGTCTTGGCTTCCTCAGGGACCAGGCAGAGGAAGCTGAGAGGACACCCAAGGTGTGGAGCTGCTTCCCTGGGAAACCCATGCTCCCAGCTCCCCAGACCCGAGACGGAAGACAACAAAAGTGGCTCCAATTGCCTAACCTGCTCCCCACCTGTTGACGATCTCTGTCACTGCTGTTTTGCCATCCGATGCAGCAGGAAGCGGGCGAGGCTTTGCAGAGGGCTGGAGACCAGAGTCGAGGAAGCCATCCGTGAAGTAGGGGTCTTCCTCCAGATCTCTGTGGCCAGCGCACACCAATGAGTGAAGGGGTAATGGGTGCATGAGTAAATGCCCCTGTGTGTGCTGGGGGCTGGCCCAGGTCCCAGCTGGCCCTGGGATTCCTGGTTTCACTTACATGGTGTCCTCATAACTCTCAGGCTCCGGTGAACTCCGGGCCACGTACAGACGGCCCTCCAGGTTGCACAGAACCAGGCTGTGGATGAGCCCCTCATGGGGCTTCTGCAGCAGCTCTTCGAACAGCCGCAGTGTGGCGATGCTGATCTGCAACCAGAGAGGGCTCAGCGGGGTGCCCTCCCCCACACCCACCTCCCTTGCAGTGCCTGGGAACTGCTGCCCTAGATAAGAAAGTCCTCTAAGGCCGGGTCATCTCACCGAGCTGTGAACCACAGTAGCAGGTTTCAGGTTCACGAGTGGGTGATGGCCCAGGAAGTAGGGAGTCTGGATTGTTCCTGTACCATTACTCAAAAAAAAAAAAAAAAAAAAAATTTTTGGGGGGTGGTACTAGGATTGAATCCAGGGGCATTCTATCATTGAGCTACACCTCTAACCCTTATTTTATCCAGAGACAGGGTCTTGCTACATTGCTCAGGCTGGACTTGAAATTTGGATCTTCCTGCCTTGGCCTCCCAAGTAGCTAAGATGACAGAGTGCCACGGTGCCTGGATCCATTAAACATATGACTGCCTTCTTAGGCATGGCCACTGGCTTCTCTGTGCCTTAATTTCCACCTTTAAAAAATGGGACTATGAGCCTCCTCTACCTCACAGAACACTCCAATAAGCCAAATGAAGCCAGCTGTGGTGGCACACGCCTGTAATCCCAGCATTCTGGGAGGTTGAGGCAGGAGGATTACAAATTCCACCCCAACCTGGGCAACTTGGTGACTTAGAGAGAGACCCTGTCTCAAAATAAAAAATAAAAACAGGTTGGGGATGAAGGCCCTGGGTTCAACTCCCAGAACTGAAAAAGAAAAAAAAAAAAAAGAAAGCCAAATGGCTGGGAAAGCAGTTTGTAAAATACACAGTGCCAGGACTGGTGATTGAGCTCAGTGGCACTGCACCTGCCTCAGAAGCCCCCAGTACCAGGGAAAAAAGAAAAGAAAAGAAAAAATAGTGTGATAAAGAATGTGCGATCATAGAAATTACTGTGATAAAAACAGCTTGGCAGGTCAGGGATTTAGCTCAGTGGTGCCGCCGCCTGCCACGAAAGTGCAAGGATACACAGTGCCAGGACTGGTGATTGAGCTCAGTGGCACTGCACCTGCCTCAGAAGCCCCCAGTACCAGGGAAAAAAGAAAAGAAAAGAAAAAATAGTGCCATAAAGAATGTGCGATCATAGAAATTACTGTGATAAAAACAGCTTGGCAGGTCAGGGATTTAGCTCAGTGGTGCCGCCGCCTGCCACGAAAGTGCAAGGTCCTGACTTCAATCCCTGGTACAAAGAAAATAAAAACCAGCTTGGCAAACTCAAGCAGGGCGGTGATCCCTTGTCACTGCTTCGAGGGGCTCAGGAAAGGCGCTGTGGGTGGGGTAGAAAGGCAGAGCCACGGGCCCTTCTCTCACCTCATCCGAGAGGTGGTCACAGTGCCTGATGAGGTGGTCGCACAGGGTGTGGGGACTGTCCTCGGCGCCTGCAGGCTGGTGGTGGGAGCCCAGTAGGAAGGTCATGGCTTCCTGCAGCAGCATGGGGGAGCGCAGCTGGCGCAGCACAGCCGTGAGCAGGGCAGTGGAGGTCAGGATGCTCTGCTCAGACCTGCAGGCGGAGGCCCCTTAGCCAGACCTGGCTGTGTCAAGCCAGAGGCAGCTGAGGAGGAGCGGGGGCGGGTGGGGTGCACACCCCTTCCTGCTTCTCTCATATCTTTGGATAATGTCTGGTCACGTCCCCATCCCTACTGAGGTCCTGCAGGTACAGGTGGGAGGCCATCAGGGCCGGCAAATGTTAACCAGCAGAGTCCATGGATGGAGGACCCTGCCCTAGGGCAAGGAAGGGGCTTGGTAGGGTGGGCAGGACACAGACGCGGGCCAAGAGCAATGGAACGGGACACTTACACATGCAGGAGTTGGGGCTGCAGAGCATCCACAAACAGCCTCTCGGCCACAGCCTTTGCCAAGACATCAGCAACCACCTGGGGAAAAGAGCATGTCTTCACTAAGTTTGTACCCATCACAGCCGCCCTGGGCATCACTGTGCCCTTTTGTGGCAGGGCTAACCGGCCCCGGGCCACTAAGCATTTGCTCTGCTCTCTCCTTGGGACCAGAGGGTGAGGGAAGTCATGAGAGCTGTGGTTACACCTGCCCCTGCTCACCGTGTGTGCCTCTGTGATAAGGTGGTCACAGTAATCAAACCAGCCCAGGAAGGCAGCCAGGGCCTCCTTGCCAGGGAAGGATGCCTCATCGAATGGGGCACTGGGTAACCTAGGGGAGAGGGAGGCAGGAAGTGTGGAGGGTGAGGGGGAAGCGTCAAGGTCTTCTGTCCTTCAAGGATGTCCGGGAGCTGCCCTCTCCCTCTCCTCTGGAACTTCTGTTGCTGGGCTCAGTTCCGCTGTGGCTTTGTGGTCACAGACTCTGGGAATGTGCTGTCACCTCAGGAAGAGTGTGGCCAGCAGGGTCCCCATCCCATGTGGGACACCAGAGGAGCCGGCTACCAGCCCCTGAGATGTTGTCCAGCCTTCCCCGGCCAGGGCCCACCTCCAGCTGATGCCCTCTAAAGCGGCGATGTCTGCCGGGTCGAGGAAGGCAGGCAGGGACCGGTACAGTTCGCACAGATGTTCCGCGATCAAGACACAACAGGGGCTGCTCTGTGCCAGGTAGGTGGCAGCTGCTGGGGAGGCCACGCTTACCAGGAGTAGCAGATTCTCCTGGGCCTTCAGGACCACCCGACCCTTCTAGGAGATGAGGATACAGCTTTAGGGATATGCATTCGAACCCCCAAATCGCCCCCAGCCATTCTCCCCTTCCCTGACTCCGCCCCCAAATTCACCTGCCCACCACCATCTCTCAGCACCTTGCTTTGGCACAGCCCCAGCAGGGAGGTGATCAGGTTGCTCTCCCCAGGACCATCTGGCCCCTCCATCTCAGCAGGCAGGTGGCTGGTCAAGGCCTGGGCCCCACAGTGCTCCCCATCCGACTGGGGGCCCCTGTCAGGAGTACAGTTCTGACAACAGTCCTCGTCCCTGTGGCTGGCTGTGTCTTTAGACAGGGCTGTAGACTCTCTGGGTGACTTCTTCCCTGTAATTGTTTTGCCCTGCAGAGAAGGTGGAGTGAGGCCAGGTGATAGGGAGACCACTCTGAAAGGTCCATTCTTTCACTGGGTATTTTTTGGGGGGTACCAGGGATTGAACTCAGGTGCAGTGCCAGTGAGCTAACTCCCCAGCCCTGAAGGGTCCGCTCTTAAGAGGGCAGAGTGGAGCTGAACACGGTGGTGCACACCTGTAATCCCAGTACTCTGGGAGGCCAGGCAGGAGGCTGGCGAGTATGACCCCAGCCTGGACAACTTAGTGACTTAATGAGACCCTGTCTCAAGATTAAAAAAAAAAAAAAAAAA